ACAAGGGACCCTGAAGATGGAAATACAAGAATGGCTGGGCCTCAAGAAAACAGGAGCTGTCAGTGAGACCTCTGCCCGCTCATCTCTGGGCCTTGAGGGTTCTCATCCCTTTGGCAATATTCGCTTCTATGCTCTTTTCTTTAGTTTTTCTTAAGACCCCCTTGATTTCCCTGCACAAAGCGGCTGCTTCTTCATATCCAGACACAGCAATGACTGACAGCTCCCTTCTGTGTCCCTTAATTCAGTTTTCAAGCAAGGGAATCTGATTGGTTCAGCGTAGCTTTTCCTGGGAGCCCTTGGTCCATTCATCAGTGCCAGACCAGATGCTGATCTGGGGGACCTGAGGGCAGAGTACTCTCCCCAAAAGGGAGCTAGTGGCGGCAGGCCTTGGACTCAGTTTCTCCTTCTATCCAACGGAAGACGTGGTAAGAGCCCACATGAGTTAATGGGCCATTAGTGGATAGAGGGCAGCCGGAGAAAGGCCGAGAGTCAGGACTACAGTTAGTCAGTCCACCTCGTGCTCTTGGCACACATTAGGAAAAGGTGCCCCTTGGAATGTAGCAATCCCATAAGCACGCAGCTAGGCCAGTAGATCGCACCTTTGAGCTAGTGAGACCAATACACCCCTTTCTGAACAATCAGCCTTGTCATGCCCCAGTTCACAGCTTGGCAAGGGGCACAGAGCCTGGATCTCAGCCCCTGCCTGCCCCCCTACTCAGGGGTGTTGTGGAGTACAGACACTGTTCCACCATCCGCAGGAGCCCAGAGCCCTGAGACCCGCTTACGCTGACCCAAAGGTGGTGGGCTGGGGATGGGAGTTGGTGGCAGTGTTTTTCTCAGAACAAGCCCCCCTCAACAGCCAGAGAAGCACTGTTCCCTGCAGGGAGTGGGGGCCAGTGAGGGGGGAGCGGTCAGCTGAAGGTGTCTGCTTCCTCCTGAAACGCTCAATTACTTTTACAAGGATTTTCTCAAGGACGCTTGGAGGGGGCCAGCTCCCTTGACAGGAAGCAATTAGGACAGAGGAAGGAGGCTGACCTGGCCTCAGGGCAACAGAACCTAAGGAGGTGACTCAGAGAACTGGGGGGCTGCTGTTTCCAGCTGAAGCCACACTGGAGGGAGGGAGAGCCTTGTTCCTGCCTGGTTTGAGGGCACAGGTCAGTCCACCTCCTGCTTTCACATTTGCCTTCTGCGCCATCTGGCCCCGAAGAACCAGAGTGTTCCTCCTAAAGCACGGACCTGACCATGTTAGCTTTCCAAGCCCTGCTTCTTGCTCCAGTATAATGAGCTCCTTCAAAGTCACTCTCTGCTCTGTCACCTGCTGACCTCAGAAGCCTGCTCTGCTTCCCACCACTCCTGCACGTGAATCACTGTGAATTGCCCTCCATTTCCCTAAGGGATCTCTTAGGCTTCTGTGCTTATGCGCAAGCCACTGCCCCTCCCTGGGCCACCCATGCCCCTGTCTCAGTGATCTCTGAAGCCCTCGCAGATCTCAAGCAACTGGCCCCCCGTGTCCACACAGTCCATCATAGTCACCAAACAGCTTCCCATGCAATTCCCTGCCAGCTGAGCAGAACACACACTTACATCTCTGTTTTAAAACATTTTTAAAGGAAATGAAGGCTCAGAGAATGGATGGTAAGGCCAGGACTTGAACTCAGATCTCTTAACTTCAAGGCCTCTGTTTATCATGCATTCTCATCCGTGGGGAGTGAATCCAAATCTGAATGTGAAAGCGGAGGTAACAGACTCAAGTTCTGTGCTGCAGAGGCGGGAGAGTCTTCCCTGGCAGGCCAGGGGGTAGAGGAGGAGTAGGGGAGGAGGACAGGTGAAGGATGAAGCTCCTGTTCATCAAGAGAGCAGGAGGTGGTGTCCACCCCTGGTCTTGCTAAGGACCAGCCCACAGGGGAGCAGTTCGGGTAGAATGCTGAGTCCTCCCTAGATGGGCTTTTCCTGTGCTTTCACCTGCCACAGGGAAAGATGGGTTCTCGGCTCACATTGTGCCAAATTAATAACCCTGGAGAAGACAGAGGCAAATCTCCCAGCACCCCTATTTGAGAGTATAGGAGAGTGAGTGGTGCTGCTGAGGTTATGTGCCCATCCTGGCTCAATCACTGTGTCCAGGGAAATAGGTTGTACCATTGGGCAGGTCTACGACACATGCCTATTCCTGTGACTAGGGAGACAGGAGCTGCTACTAGAAGAAGAGAGTGGGAAAGGATGCTAGTCAGCAAATCCAATAGCCACCAACTTCTGAGGAGCATTTGTAGAAGTGATGTGGAGAATCTTACGGAAATTTAGAGGTGGTCACTATAGCCAGGCTTCAAGCTAGGACTTGGGAAACTGTCAATACCAGAAGTAACTCCCTCTCAGGGCATCATGGTTTCTCTTTTATGGAGTCTCTGCCCTCTGCACATTGCTTTCATCTTTATATCCTGATGAGCTCAATCTGCTCACAAAGTTTTTGCCTCCTCTTCACTTTATGTTGCAAATAACTACTGCTTGCTAAGGCCCGTCTAGGTTTCTTAGAAGCCAACTATATTTTGTAGTATTCTTAGCTTCTGTTCCTATGGTTGACTATCCAGCCTCTGTTTCCCAGTTTCCAGTTCCTGAGGAAGAGAAATCTGATTGGCCCAGATCTTTCCTTTCAACCCAGGCTACACAGGTCAAAGGTCACTAAACAGCAAGGGGATGGTTCACCTTTGCATCAGGTACTCACTGCCAGCCAAGTAAGGACTATATATTCTCCTCCATGAGGCACCTGAGAATAATGGACTTTCCTAGAGTTTCATTATTTATTGTTGTGTAACAAGACACTTCAAAAGTTAATGCTGGAAACAATAAAAATGTATCATTTTTCATGATTCTCTGGGTTGGCTGGGCTCAGCTGGGAGGTTTTGTTGCTTCACACGCTGTTGGCTGGGGTTACTCATCCCAGGGTATCCCACTAGGAGCTGGGCTGCAACTGGAACAGTTATGATCTCATTCACATGTCTGCAGCTGACAGCTGCCTGAGAAACCACTGACTTCTGATCCTCCAGGGCCTTACTGCCTCTCCATGTGACCTTTTCAGATTTCTTTACACTGTAACTGACTCCCAAGAGGGCATAAAAAAGATCTGGAAGGTCTCTTAAAGCTTAAGCTTGGAAACCACACATCACTTCTACAGCACTCTGTTAGTTAAAGCAAGACACTGGGTCAGTTTAGATTCAGTTCCACCTCTGGAAAGGAGGAATGTTCAAGTCACACTGCCAAAGGGCAAGCAGGATGGGAGAGAGTTTGGGGCCATTTACGGGAACAATCTACAATGAGTGGAGAAAGACAACCCTAAACATACTTCCCTCAATCTTAAAATGTTTTGTTATGATTACAGTAAGTCCCCTACATACAAACCTTCAAGTTATGAATGAAGATGTGAACGTACAACCACCTGTCTAATCGTGCCAGTTAGTTCATGTGTCTGGTATGTATTGTCACATGGGTGCCTCCTGTGGTTTTGTGTACTTTATAGCACTGTATAGAGCACAATAGTACAGTAGCTTTATTTCAAGCCCAGAATGTCTGGAAGCAAGCTTAAAAACAGTAGTGATGTAGCTGATACTGCTGTACTTTTCAAAGTATTGTAAGATTAAAAATATTTCTTTCATTTTTTGTGTTTGTTTTATATGTATTATTTATGTGAACTAGATTATAAACATATTATAGTACAGTGCTATATAACCGATTGTGTTAGTTGGGTACCTAGGCTAACTTTGTTGGACTTGCAAACAGATTGAACCTACAAATGTATTCTTGGAAGGGAATTCATTTGGATGCAGGGGACTTACTGTATTTCTTCCTTCTTCCAATGCAGTTTGGTTGGTTCCTCCCAGGTCATGATGGAGGGTGAGCAGACCCCTGCATTCTGTACCCCCTCCCAGTCATACTTCCTCCAAGCTAAGCCAGTGTTTTTCTCCTGTTGCCCCCATCCACCTTTGCACTCTTAGACACACAGAGATGTCCCTTGTTCGCTTGCTAACCCATGCCTTGGAATGAGTGGCATCAGTGTCTGCACCTCAGGCTCTGCACCAAGGAGGACAATGCTCTAGAACTACAAGACGGTGGTGGTCCAGGACTCCTGGATTCCTAGGCTTCTTCTCTATCCTTCCTTCTCACCTCTTTAAGGCCTGCAACTAACCGAGCTCAGCCGGTGGGGCCTGGGAGGGTGCGCCCCCTGCTGGCCATCGATGGGCCAGTAGGAGCCAGGAGTGTCTGGTCTGGGTCCCCGGCCCCGCCAAGGGGAGCCTGGTGTTGCCACCCCCCACCCCCCGACTTCAAGGGTCCTTCTGCCTTGTTGGGGCGGGGGTGGAGCTGACGGGCTGGGCCCTCCACTGTGGCCCCAGCTAGAAGCAGGTTCCTGCTCGTCGATGGAGCTGTCCATCCACCACATCCTCCCCCTCAGCGAAGTTGTCTAGGATCCGAGGAGACATTGCTCAGGGTTCCAGGGTCCTGGCATCAGAGGGGAAAGACCGGGGTGAGGGGGTGGGGATAGCTTTTTTATTTTGGGGGGGGGCTAGAATTTCATTTTCTCCTTTGTGGATTACCACCCTGGGTTTAAGAAAAAAAAAAAAGTCAGGCTTCCCCTTATTCTGGTGCTGTTGACTGCCTGCGAACAGGATCCCCGCAATCCCGAATCCTCAATAGCCTGAAGGCCTGGCTTCAGGCCCAGTCCTGCGAGCCAAAGGGTCCAGACCCTCATTAGGCTTGGGGCGGTCGGGGAAGCAGAGCTCAGTGTCCCGAAATACAACGCCACCGGCAACAGCAGCTGCACACCGACTGCCGACTGGTCGGGTTGAGCACCCGGCGCACTGCCCTCCCCGCTGCCGGCCCTCACGCGCACTCTCCCCGCCGCTGCCCGCCCCCTTCTCACGCCCGGGACGCGCCTCCCTCCCTCCCGCAGCCCAGTCCCGCCGGCTCCGCTCTCCGCAGCCTCCTGCTCCCGCCAGGCCGGGTCAGAGCCGAGCATGGAACCCGGGGAGTCCCGGGAGCCCCGCGAGCCCGGGCCGGGAGCAGAGACCGCCGCGGCCCCGCACTGGGAGGAAGCCAAGACTTTCTATGACAACCTCGCGCCCCAGAAGAAACCCAAATCGGTAAGACCAGGGCATGGGTATGGGACGGGGCAGGGTGAGGATCACACCCGGAGGGGTCAGCCCTTCGGAGAGGGACCCGCGGCGCCCCTCCGAGAAGGGACGCAGGTCCTCATCACCAGCATACGCCAGGCCGTTGGCACAGGCTCCGTTTTATTTTAAGAGCTCTGGTCGGGTGTTTTTTTATCTCGGGACTCCGGTTCCACGCCAGGATCCTCCTCCCCCATGCTGTCATCAGGGCCCAGCTCCGGGCCGCGGCCCAGCCGGGGGCACGGGGGCAGCACTTGTTGGCAAAGCCGGTCAGCGGCGCCTGCAGCAGCGCCGGGGCTCAGGTAACCGGACTCCGTAAACCCGGCTCCTTGCTGTGCGCTCCGGTTTCTGCCATCCTGCGCACAGGGCTCGGGCTCGGGCTCGGGGTGCTGGGCTCCCTGGGTTTTAAGAGAAGGGAGCTGCACTGGAATCTGCGCTCTGAGCTTAGGGCTCTGCGTCCCTGGCTCTGGGGTCCCAGCCCTGGACTGTGCCCCAGCTCCGGGCTCTTCTCCCCTCACAGGGTAGCCCTCGCTGGCATCAGCGTTTCTGCTACCTAGATGGTCGCCTCAGCCCTCCAGGACTCACTCGGAGGAGTTTCCTCTCCCCTTGGTTCCTGGGCCTTGCTCACACCAACTTCCCTGATCTCAGAGCCTGGGAAGGGGATGGAGAATGGAAGCTGGTTCAGAGCATCCTCCAAAGAGCTCCAAACTGACCTTAAAGCACTCTGCTGCTTCCCTCCCATGAGGCCCACCTTGTCAACAGTCGTTCCCTGCTGCACCTCCAGTCCTGCTCAGCAGTGCAGATTGAGAGATGAATTAGGCTGAGTCCCTGCCCCAGGAGCTCACAGAGACCCTAGATATGGTGAATGCCCAGGTGAAAACCTTAGCATTGGGAGCGGAAGGGAGGCAGTGACCGCCAACTCAGGAATTCTTGTAGAGGTGGCTTGATTTGAGCTGATCTTAAAGCCTGAGTAGGTGGACCTTCCCAGACAGGGAAACAGGATAAGCAAAAGACACATGGTCGATGTCTTTGAAACTGAGTGAGAAAATAAAATGCAGGATCTTTAGGAGAGCAACTGGGGAGATGCCAGAGACCCACAGAGGGCCTTGAGTGCCGCATTAAAAAATCCAGATCTTATTCAATGGGGTTAGAGGTCTTAACATTAGGCTCTATGAAAACCCACGTTTTAGGGTGTCTGCTCACAGGTGAAGTCAATTCATTTTCTTTCTTCCTCAAACTATGTTTTACAAAAGTAAAAATATGTGATAAAATTCAGCTCACTCAAATGTGTTATTGGACATTTTAGCACCTTGGAGACTGCCAATGTGTTACCTTATGCTACAGGTCGATTATCTTTTTTAGCAAACCTCAGAAAAAAGCTTTTATGGTGATCTGTTTTAATAGAAGAGTATCGTGAGATTGCTGACAATTGTGGTTGAGTTTCCCAAGGCTTGTAGTTTAAAATAGAACAAAACAAAAAAGCCTTTTTACCATTTGCAGCCACTTATTGGTATGAATCAGGACTTTCTCAATGCTGTGCAAAACCCAGCAAATTGAAACATAAACAAACTGACTAGATGATGAAGTTTAAATCCTCACTGGTCTCCTGTATTCATTGGTGGACATTAAATATAAATATACCATGAACATCTGAATACATAATACATTTGAATTCATGTGTGTGAAAGTGAAAGTCGCTCAGTCATGTCCGACTCTTTGTGACCCCGTGTACCATGGAATTCTGTACCATGGAATTCTCCAGGCCAGAACACTGGAGTGGGTAGCCTTTTCCTCCTCTAGGGGATTTTCCCAACCCAGGGATCAAACCCAGGTCTCCAGCGTTGCAGGCGGGTTCTTTACCAGCTGAGCCACAAGGGAAGCCCAAGAATACTGGAGTGGGTAGCCTATCCCTTCTCCAGGGGATCTTCCTGACCCAGAAATTGAACCAGGGCCTCCTGCATTGCAGGCGGATTCTTTGCCAACTGAGCTATCAGGGAAGCCTATTGAATTCATGGTATGAATTTATACCAACAAAATATGGTACTATAGGGTTTACATATTGGGGCTCCCCCAAAAAAGTTTATTTGCATCAAATGTCAACCTACTTTTTAAACAAGTATGAAAACCATTATGAGCTACCACAAGACTTTTCAACAAGGGATTAACTTGGTTCGTTTTCATTTTAGCAAGGTCACTTTGCTAAAGTGAGGCTGTGTTTGCGGATGGCTTGGAGAGGGTGTGCCTGGTAACAGCCAGAGCAGTGAAGAGGCTGGTTCCTGCCTGGGGAGGAAGCTGGACTAATGTCGCGGCCTGAGGGATGGAAAGAAGGGGATGGAGACGAGGGTAGTGAGTGGAGCCCACCTGTCCGTTTCCTCTGGGAGCTCAGGCCCAGTCGTCATTTATGACCTCTTGTCTGGTATGACCTCTCAGTCAGTCCCTGGGCCTTGTCATCCTCTGGGAGGCAAGGAGACTGGCGGCTTCCTGGCCCCTACTCCTTCCTGCGAGAACCCCACCCCAAAGGCTATTTCGGGGGCTTTGGGCCTCCTGGGCCCCATGCTGGTCTGGCCTAGGCTTATTCTCATCCCCCAGTTCCTGAGTGAAATAGTTAACCCCGAAGGTCTATATGAGGCCCTCACCTCACGAGGTCAGAGGACTTCCTCAGTCCAGACCTGTCTTGTTCCCTCTCCTCCAGCAGTTCCTCGGCCTCTGAGTCCTTCTAGAAACAGCATCTTGTGGCTGTGTTCCTATCTTGGGCCCAACAGGCAAAAGCCCAGGGCCTCAATGCGAGCTCCTCGGGCAGGCAGGGTGGGGCTAGGTTGCCCTGAATGATGCCTCAATCCTTGTCCCTGAAGCAGCAGTAGCCAGCCGGTCCCCCAACACCACTCCAGTGAAAGACAGAGAGAGCTGGTGGGACCTGGCTCCTTGGAGCCCAGAGCTCCTAGACTGAGACTTTGGTCTGGTGTAAGGGTCTTTCTGACCCACGGTTCAGTCTGGTGTGTGGACTTCTTTCTGATTTCTGGAGGAACTAGGGTTCCTCTAACTAGGGTTAGGGTTAGGGTTAGGTGCACCTGATGGTACGTGACGGGGTGGCCTCCCTCCGCAGCGAGGTCCAAGGGCATCTCTAGGTGCTTGGCTTCTCCCCAGCTCTGAGCAGCCCCTTTTCCCTGTTCTTTCAGCTCTGCCTGGAGCCCGGACAGGCTGTTCCTGTCTCCCAGCTGGGATCTGAATTTCCCACAGCAGCTAAGGCCCTCTAGGCCCTTAGACTCCTCCTCACTTGTACAGAGTAAGAGCAGGCTAAGCAGGAGAGCAGGGTTCCATCCTGGGACTCTCCATTTTGGGGTAAAGAGTCCTACCCTTAGAAACCTCTGTCTGAAGGCATGGTGCCCCTCAGCAGTTCCCCCAGATCTGGAAAGGGAGGGCAGGGGGCTAGGGAAGCAACCAGGACAGTGCTGAAGTAGTGGGGGTTGGGGTCTTCGAGGAGTGATTGAGGAGGGGAGGAGAGGTGGGTGGTGCTGCTGTGTGGACAGAGGCCAGAGGCTTAGGATCTTATCCTGGCTCTGCCGTGGCTTTGCTGGATGACCTCGAGTAACACTCTGCCCGTCTCTGGGCCTTTTTCCCCATCTGTCAAAGAAGGAAGTAGAGGCTCCTGGGACTGAGGCAGCTGGGACCTTTTCCTTGCAATGGCTAGAGGTGGGATGCAGTGGGATATAGGCAGGTCAGCCGGAGAAGACCCAGGACACAGCAGTCTGGCAGGGACTGTGGGACAGAAAGTGAGGAGCGAGACCTTGGATGGCTGCCTGGGCTGGAGCGGCAGCTTGGGAACCTGCCTGAAGGGGCTGGGAGGGAAGCTGGCTCTCTGTCCTTGAAGGGGTGATGGGCCTGTCCCTGGGGCAGTAAGCTTAGGGAACAAGGCAAGCTCAGCTCCTGCCTTGAAGGGCAGCAGACCTCCTGGGTTTATGAGAGCGGGTCTCCCCATCCCCCCAACTCTACCCTTACTGTCCCAGGCCGTCCCTCTGTTATCCCTTTTTTTAAATTTTTACCTTCCTTCCGTGAAGGCTCACAGTGGCTGAGGGGGTTGGGAGGTACCCAGCTCAAGGACACACAGACACGGGTGGTGGCTGGCAGCTGACAGAGTTACTGGGCTGAGCCCCAGAGGACGGTCACCTGTCCTGCCAACACCTTAGACTCGCCCTGCTGGCCCCACACACTGTCTTGACTGGGGTAAAAGTCAAATGCAAACTGAGGTCTGCCTCATGAGTCTGGGGACTCTGGTCTGTTCCTACTTTGAGGTTCTAAAGGTTCATTAGCCACTATGGCTACTTAAGTTTAAACTGATTAAAATGACATGCAATTAAAGATTCAGTTCTTCCTTCTCACTGGCCGCATTTCAAGTGGCTTCCTAGCCACATGCAGTCACATGGACAGCATTGGACATTCCCATTTTCACAGAGAGGTCTACTGGACAGTGTTCCTCTGCAGGGGGCATGGACCTCTGCCTTGGGGGTAGACCATAAGCTCCCTGGGGGCAGGGTCACATCTGTATGGTTTGCTGCCAGGTCCCCCACACAGTGCCTGTCACGTGATCATCACTCAGTCTTGTCAACTGATTGGGACCTAGGCTTGACTCCAGAGGGAAAAAATGGGATTGACTGCGTGGCCAGCAGGGCCGTTAGGAGCAGGCCACAATGCAAGGTCTGTTTAGGAGCCTTGCCCCCAACCTGAGTCCCTGTTTCCTCATCTGTCCAATGGGAACCATGGTCCCAGGATTGCTCAAGTCACAGAGATGTGGTGGGACTCTCTAGACAACGGTGAGTCCCTTGGGGACCTGCATTCTCATCCTCCCCAGGGATTATGCAGGATCCAGCTGCCGCCTGTGGTGGCATTCCCTTCTCCCTATTCCATGGGAGGTGCTGAGGAGTTCTGAGAGCCTCATGGGCCCCTGAAAGAAGGCCTTCTGGCGCCTGCCTATTCTTCTGGGCTCAGCTACACTCTGCTCCCATGCACAGGGCTCTGCTCACCTTTGCGAAGGCACGGCGTGTGTTCACACCTCCTCATGCCTTCCTTCACCCCACTCCTCCAAGGCTCTGTTGAGATGCCTCCTCTCCCATAGCAGCTTCCTCTGAACTTTGCTTTCGCTTGGTTCTAGCATTCATTTCAGGCCCTTTTGCATCTCTGTTTATCCGTCTTTCTCCCCCACCAGCTTCCAACTCTCAGGGCAGGAGCCGAGTCTCTACCAGGACCAGCCTCAGGCAGAACCCAGGTGCTTGGCACAAAAAACCAATAAATGTTGGTCAAATCTGCATCAACTCAAACAGTGTTCTCTCAGCATCTACTGTATTTCAAGCAGTTTGAATAGATAAGGGCACTGCAGTGGAGTTTCTAGTTCTTGTTAAATTTGTTATGGCAAATACTGTCTCTCATTAAAATACATTGCTTAAAAGTTCAGAGACATTAAATATTTACTGAGCACCTACTATATGCTAAGCACAGTTTGGAGGACTAGAGATACTATAAATGAACAAGATAACTCTTGTTCTTGCTCCCTCAGAACTTAAGCATGGTTCCTGCTTCTAGAACTCTGCCTAGAAATAGAAATAGTTAAATAAGCAATAGGGCTTCCCTGGTGGCTCAGTGGTAAATAATCCACCTGGCAATGCAAGAAACTTGGGTTTGGTCCCTGGGGTTGGGAAGAGCCCCTCGAGTAGGAAATAGTAACCCATTCCAGTATTTTTGCCTGGGAAATCCCATGGACACAGGACAGTTGTGGGTTACAGTCCTTGGGGTCGCAAAAGAGTCAGACATGACTTAATGACTAAATCAGTTCAGTTCAGTTGCTCAGTCGTGTCCGACTCTTTGCGACCCCATGAGCTGCAGCACTCCAGGCCTCCCTGTCCAACCCCAGCTCCCAGAGCCTACCCAAACTCATGTCCATTGAGTCGGTGATGCCGTCCAACCATCTCATCCTCTGTCGTCCCCTTCTCCTCCTGCCCTCAATCTTTCTCAGCAATAGAGTCTTGTCGAATGAGTCAGCTCTTTGCATCAGATGGCCAAAGTACTGGAGTTTCAGCTTCAACATCAGTCCCTCCAATGAACACCCAGGACTGATCTCCTCTAGGATGGACTGATTGGATCTCCTTGCAGTCCAAGGGACTCTCAAGAGTCTTCTCCAACACCACATTCAAAAGCATCAATTCTTCAGCACTCAGCTTTATTCACAGTCCAACTGTCACATCCATACATGACTATTGGAAAAACCATAGCCTTGACTAGATGGACCTTTGTTGGCAAAGTAATGTCTCTGCTTTTTAATATGCTATCTAGGTTGGTTATAACTTTCCATCCAAGGAGTAAGCATCTTTTGATTTCATGGTTGCAATCACCATCTGCTGTGATTTTGGAGCCCAAAAAAATAAAGTCTCTCACTCTTTCCACTGTTTCCCCATCTATTTCCCATGAAGTGATGGGACCTGATGCCATGATTTTAGTTTTCTGAATGTTGAGTTTTAAGACAACTTTTTCACTCTCCTCTTTCACTTTCATCAAGAGGCTCTTTAGTTCTTCTTCACTTTCTGCCATACGACTAAGTAACAACAGCAAATAAGCAATTATGCGTATATATAGTTGTTGTTTGGGCTTCCCTGGTGGCTCAGAGGTTAAAGCGTCTGCCCGCAATGCCGGAGACCCGGATTTGATCCCTGAGTCAGAAAGATCCCCTGGAGAAGGAAATGGCAACCCACTCCAGTATTCTTGCCTGGAGAATCCCATGGATGGAGGAGCGTGGTTGGCTAGAGTCCATGGGGTCACAAAGCGTCGGACACGACTGAGCGACTTGATGACAACGATGATAGTTGTTGTTACCAGAGGTTTATTGAAAATATTACAGCAGGGCAGAATGATTCAAATGGCTCCACATGGTGTTTTGAAATTTATCCCAACTGTAGGCTGAGTGACCAGCAGATTGGACAAACTACCAAAGTCCAAGAGAGTCAGCATTTCCTTAGTGTCAGGATCTACTTCAATGAATTTTACTAAAAGGAAAACATTTACTAAATTTACTAAATTTTTACTAAAAAGGAAATCTATAGGAAAGGTAGCAAGCCCATTACTAGGGATAAGGGATGGTTTTGTAAAGATGACATGTAGTCTGAGACCTGAGGGTTGAGTAGAACTTAGCTGGATGGGGAGGCAGGGAAACAGCAAATCAGTCAGAGGAAACATCCAGTGCAAAAGTTCAGAGAAGGGGCGGGGGAAGATGTGCTCAGACATGAGAAATGTCAGATAGAGCAAAGCAGGGTAATGAGAAAGTAAGAGAGGAGACAGAGGTAGGGGTCTGTCATGGGGGGCTTCCTACTCCATCCTCAAGGCTGCTGTTCAGAATGTGAGAAGAATTTGATGACAGTGTGTGCGTGTGTGCTAAGTCACTTCATTTGTGTCTGACTCTTTGTGACCCTATGGACTGTAGCCCACCAGGCTCCTCCGTCCATGGGATTTTCCAAGCAAGAATATTGGAGTCCCAACCCAGGGACTGAACCTGCATCTCTTATGTCTTCTGCATTGGCAGGCAGGTTCTTTACTACACAGAGGGCACTACTGAAGGGGATGGGCATGATCAGATCTGAATTTGAGAAAAATCCCCTGATAACAATATGGACCACATATTGGAGGGAATGAGATGGTGATGGCTGGTCCATGGTAGGGAAGACAGGAGGAAGTGGATGGTTTCTAGTAGAGTGGATAGGTTTTGGTGACTGATTGATGCGGGAAGGGAGAGAGGAAGAGGGAAGACTTGAGGTCGACTTCTGGGCTCTGGGCTGCTGGATGAGTGCTTGGTGGTGCGGAGCACTGAGATGAGGCTTGAGGGTGGACAGATTGCTGTCCTTGGGAATTCAGCCTTGGGCATGATGAGTCTGAGTGTTTGTTAGTCAACTGGGCAGTTAGAAATAACAGTCTGGAGCTCAGGAGAAAGATCTGGGCTGGAGACAGATTTTCTTCTATAATTGTCATGCTTCTGGGCACCATTTCTTCCCAAGGGCATGTAGCTCCCATTTTACAATGGAACCCTTCTGAAGACCATCTTGAGCATCAATCATACTTTAGCTGCTTACACTGTATTCATTTTTCTGTCATGTCAAGATGGCCAGCTAGACTGAAAACTCCCCGAGGACATGTGCCTCTCACCAGATTGTCCTCCTCCGTGGGGAGTCATCGTTTCCCCCCAGTCCCCAGCTGGGTTCTTCACCAGAGGGGATCCTAATCTAGGTCTGTCCCTGCCCAAGACTGAGCTCCTTAGGGCAGAGGCCGGGCCTGGGGCCTCTCCCTGTCCCCAGTTCCCAGAGGGGCTGGCACTTGAGACCTGCCTCAGGGAAGCTGAGGGTCGACCCCTTCTACTGCATCCCTGCAGCCCAAGCCTCAGAATGCCGTCACCATTGCTGTGTCCTCCCGAGCCCTGTTCCGCATGGACGAGGAGCAGCGGATCTACACGGAGCAAGGCGTGGAGGAATATGTGCGCTACCAGCTGGAACACGAGAACGAGCCCTTCAGCCCTGGACCAGCCTTCCCCTTCGTGAAGGTGAGGGGCAGTCTCACCACTGGCCATACAAAACCTTCATGGGCATTAGCTAAAAGCCCTCCCATGGGAGTTTGGGGTTGGTAGATTACATTTAGGATGGATAAACAAGGTCCTACTATATAGCACAGTATATTCAATATATATATATATATATATATATTCAATATATATATATTCAATATCCTGTGATAAACCATAATGGAAAAAATATGAAAAAGGAATGTATAAAAAAGCATATTCTGCTGCAAATCTTGTTATAATTTCAGACATAGTATTTATCCAAGGAACACTGTTGTTGTTGTTGTTTTAATCTTTATTTATTTGGCTACACCGGGTCTTAACTATGGTATGCGAACCCTTACTTGTCACATGTGGGATCTAGTTTCCTGTCCAGGGATCAAATCTGGGCCCCCTGCATTGGGAGCCCAGGGTCTTAGCCACTGGACCACCAGGGAAGTCCCCCCAAAGAACACTGTCTCTTATTACAGGTTAACTATTTAGAGAAGAACATAATAATGTAACTGAAAAATACCTTGATCTAACACATTGAATTATTTTATATTTTGTACTTACTATTATCTATTGAATTTGCTTTCACTTATTTAAAGAAATCTTAATTAGTTCTTATTTTTTAAAAAAGAAAAGCACTCCCATAGGGGTTTGAATAAAGGAAAAGGGTCCGCTCTGGGTAGTGCTACCCCACAGGACCGTGACTTGGCAAGGGGACAGCCGTTGTGGGAAGAAGAGTCCTCCCCATCCCCCGGATGAATACAGCCCCACCTCAGATAACCAGCTTAGTTCGTGGAACCTGAGCTGAATTTCGACTTCCACTCACCCTTTTAGTGAGGCATCGAAATCTAATAATTTGCTTTATTGTATGGGCAATAATCAACCCATACAAGGACAGAGATTAGGGGGTGATTGTCCATGTCCAGTGCTCTGACCTCGAGTCCAGCCCCTGACTTCCCCTCCCCTCCCAGTATTGGATCCCAGCCCACCCCACATCCCCAACCCTGGCTACTAACACCAGGCATCAGTCCTTGGGGGGTCTGAGCCCTAGGACCCACTCTCCCATCCAGGCTCTGGAGGCTGTGAACAGGCGGCTGCGGGAGCTGTACCCTGAGAGTGAGGACCTCTTCGACATCGTCCTGGTGACCAACAACCACGCTCAAGTGGGTGTCCGTCTCATCAACAGCATCAACCACTATGGTAAGCATGACAGCTTTGGCCATGACATGATCCCTAGCGGACACCCAGGGTTGGCATCACACCTCTGCAGTGTGCAGGTATACCCACTGGAATCTTAAGCCAAGTGGGGTGCTGGTAAATAAGCTCTTTCAAAGAACAAAACAACCCCCCCAAACTCTGATCATAGCGTTGCCATTTTCAGGGTGTAAATATTCCCACTGTGGCTGATGTCAAGCTACCAATAACGGAACAATCTAACTAGCTCCCAAAGTCCCTGAATGTTTAGCATTTGGCCCTTGCAAGCTGGTACAAGCCAGCTCCAGCACATCCTTGCACAGGCCCCACTTCCTTCGTGATCCAACAAGATATTTGCTGTCTCCGTGCCTCAGTTTCTCTTTGCAGTGGGGCTGACAGGTCTTACAGGGCTGCTGAGGGAGGCAGGTGCAGTCATCAGACTGAAGGGACTTTGTGTCTTAGTCCAAACTCTTGATTGAAAGTAATGGACCCTCTAGAGCCAGACTCAGCTCGAGAGAATGATTTCTTACTAGGTTATTGGAGTGCCTCTTGGAACCACGGGGAGGGAAGTAAAATTGAGCCCAAAGGGCCTGAATCCAAGTACTGGTAATCTCTCCAGGATTCTTTTTCTCTCTGGACCACAAGAGCCCTAATTTCTGCTTCTCTCAGAAAATCCATTCTTTTTTTTCTTGTCTCTTTCTCTTTCTCCAAACTATGTTTCTTTGTTTTTCTTGAATATGGCCCAAATTTACAAGTTTACAAGTCCTTGTTTTCAGCAATCAAGAGAGCGAGTTGGCATTATTTTAATCCTAATTTCAAATTGTTGGAAGCAGGGTGATGTTCAAAATATTTACCCGTTTTGTGGCACAAGCACAGAGGAGTCAGGACAGACACCACCTATGGCACCGAGGCAGGGCTCTGCCCTGCCCTTCCATGGTGGACCGTCCTGTGTGCGGGGCTAGGGCAATGATGGGGCAACTCCGTGGGTTCAGAGCAGCAGCTGTTGACTGACAAGTGAAGTTTTACAACCTGCACAGACTTGGGTACCAGGTGACTATCAGCCCAGACTGCAAGAGAATCTGACTGGCCCAGCTTGAGGCAGGTGCCTACCCCAATACAATCGACTATGATGAGGAAGGATCGACCACACGCCACGTGGCTGGGAACCTGCCTTTGCAGTACTGTGGTTCCCTGACAAGGGGGTATTACTGTGAGCCAGGCAGCCCCTTCAGAGATGTGCTCATCAGCATTCGTGGATGAAGGATGGAGTGGGGGGGGAGCTCAAAGAGAGGGAACGCTGGCCTAAAATCGCTGAGAATCGCTCTGCTGCCCCACCACCACTCAGAACCAAGATGGCATCCATTGGACACGGAGGGACCACTCTGAGGTGCTGAGGGTTGACCCAGACATCACCTGGCTACTTTCTACCTCCTCCCCAGACCTGTTCATTGAGAGGTTCTGCATGACAGGCGGCAACAGCCCCATCTGCTACCTCAAGGCCTATCACACCAACCTCTACCTGTCGGCTGATGCAGAAAAAGTGCAGGAAGCCATTGATGAAGGTGAGTCAAGCTGGAGAAGGAGAGTGTGGGGGATCTGGCAGAGAGGAGTGTGAGGAGCCAGTCTCAGAGATGGGCAGCTCGGTCCTAAAGCTCTGCGCAGGTGCTAGGGGTTGCCATGGTAACTGGAAGGGCAGCACCTCCCTTAATTCCTATGACCTGTCCTGTAAACCCTGAGAACAAGGCCCTATCTGTTTCACTCATTGCCCATCTAGTTCCCTCTCCCACCTCCTGCCCTACCATATTAAAGGATGCTTTTACTCACCCACATCACCCAGATGTCAGTTTCTGTGGGAACGCTCTTTACAGCCCAGAAAGCTGTTCCCTTCTAAAAAAAATCCTCCAGGTCAGTAGGAGTTCTGATTCCTGTGTGACCATGGGCAGCCTCTGTCCTTCTCTGGGCCAGTGAGGAAGGAGATCAGTACTTGTCTAGCAAAGTGTATAGCAAAGTGAGTCAGTTAGACGTATCTTCGTTCTTTTTTAGAGTCTTTTCTCATATAGGTTATCACAGAATATTGAATAGAGTCCCCCGTGCTATACAGTAGGTTCTTATTGGCTCTCTATCTTATATATAGTAGTGTGTATATGTTCATCCCAAGCTTCTGACTTACCTCTCCCACCAATATTTCCCCTTTGGAAACTATAAGTTTGCTTTGCAGCCAACAATGTGTTCACTTACTTCTTCCTCTCTCATGCTATCTCCTGCCTAGAAGCCTGTCCTCTCTCCCTGCTGAGGCCTACTCACCTGAGCTGCTTGGGGCTCCAAGAGGCTTTCTTTCAGCCCAAAGCAGAACCCATTTTCCTAGACAGATGTCACACCCTCTGGTTGGGACCTTGGCACTGTCTTGCCTGAGTCCCTCTATATGTCTTTAAGTTAAGCCCAGGCTGGGGAGCAGGGCATAGTCAGAAGGGAGGCCCTGCTCAAGATCAGATGATTCTGGTTCACCCTGGCTGTAGCACTGGCAAAGCTGAGAAGGAACCTGGCCTGATGTCCTGGCCTGATGCTTATAGCATCCTCAGGCTTAGTGAAGGTGAGGTGAAGCTGGCATTGCTCACTCCTCCCAAAGCTCTGCCTCTGCCCAGGCCTAAGGACCTAGATCCCCAAAGAGCAGGGCTGACGTGGCCTTTGGAGAGGTAAAGAATCGAGGATGGGCTGAACACACTGCCCAGGTCTCCAACTTCCTGAAACTGCTCTCTGTCATCCAGTGAGCTCTAGCCTGAAGCTGGGGTTTGCAACAGGCATACTGGGCCCCATGGAGAAGTCCTGAGTCTGTACACAGAGTCACATGTCATTAGTGCTGCCTCCTATGGCCACCCATATTGCCCCAGGGAAACTTTAAAGACCAGGCAGCCCTGAGTAGGGCATGTGGGGGTGGTTTACCTGCTAAGTCATGTCCTATTCTTGCAACCCCATTGATTGTAGCCTGCCAGACTCCTCTGCCCATGGGATTTTCCAAGCAAGAATATTGGAGTGTGTTTCTATTTGCTTTTCCAAGGGGTCTTTCTGACCCAGGGATCAAACCAAGGTATCCTGCATTGCAGGCAGATTGTTTACCATCTGAGCCGCCAGGGAGTAGGGCATGCCTGGCTGCAGACTAGGGGGTGCCCACAGTGCCCCCGCCCCAGACTGAAGCCTGGGATCCCTGGACAGAGCTGAAGCATCCTTAATTTTATCTGGGTCCAGAGAGGGTGAGGGACTTGCAGGAACCAACAGTAAGAGAGTAACTGAGGCCCAGCCAGGGTCAGGAGTCCTTCCTGGCCCCCTGTAGATCTACATCAGGGGCCTGTGAGGAGCCCCAGGAAGGACAGTGGTGGCCTGGGGGGCCCTGCCTTCCACTCAGGACTGATTCAACTGTCCATACCAGTATGGCATTGCTAAAGTATTGAAGAACTAGAGCCTCTTGATGAAAGTGAAAGAGGAGAGGGAAAAAGTTGGCTTAAAGCTCAAAATTCAGAAAACTAAGATCATGACATCTATGGCATCACTTCATGGCAAATAGATGGGGAAACAATGGAAACACTGGGTTTGGACTAGCATATTAAAAAGCAGAGACATTACTTTGCCAACAAAGGTCCATCTAGTCAAGGCTATGGTTTTTCCAGTGGTCATGTGTGGATGTGAGAGTTGGACTGTGAAGAAAGCTGAATGCTGAAAAACTGATGCTTTTAAACTGTGGTGTTGGAGAAGACTCTTGAGAGTCCCTTGGACAGCAAGGAGATCCAACCAGTCCATCCTGAAGGAGATCAGTCCTGGGTGTTCATTGGAAGGACTGATGCTGAAGCTGAAACTCCAATACTCTGGCCACCTCATGCGAAGAGTTGACTCATTGGAAAAGACCCTAATGCTGGGAGGGATTTAGGGTAGGAGGAGAATGGGATGACAGAGGATGAGATGGCTGGATGGCATCACCGACTCGATGGACATGGGTTTGAGTAAACTCCGGGAGTTGGTGATGGACAGGGAGGCCTGGCGTGCTGCAGTCTGTGGGGTTGCAGAGTCAGACACGACTGACTGAACTGAAAGTATTGAAAGTCCCCCATACTGATTGATAAATATTAATAGCTCCTGCCCTATGTCTTCCAAGTGCCCTCCTGTTTGCTGGGACCCCCTCCCCCCAGACCTTCCCTCAAAGCAGCAACTGAAGGGGAAACCCTGGCATAGGCCGGGGTCCTCAGAGCCCTACTCAGAGATAAAGCCACTGTCCCTTCTTTTTTCTTTTTGACCTCACTTCATGCAGCATGTGGGATCTTAGTTCCTCAACTGAGGATCAAACCTGCGTCCCTTACACTGGAAGTGTGGAGTCTTAACCACTGGACTGACAGGAAACTCCCTCCACTGTCCACTCTTACTGGCCTATTTTGTAATATTCTGAATGCTAGCCTTCCTTCGCTGGGCCCAGGTGAGGTAGGTGGGGCAAGGAGAGGGTGAGATAGCCCTCTCCCGGCCCCCCAGGCAGCTGAGGCGGTGTCAGGGCGCTGATTACGCAGTCGAGGGCGGACGGTCTTGCCTGTCTCCATGCAGGGATCGCAGCGGCCACCATCTTCAGCCCCAGCAGGGACGTGGCTGTGTCCCAGAGTCAGCTGCGCGTGGCCTTCGACGGGGACGCTGTGCTTTTCTCGGACGAGTCGGAACGCATCGTGAAGGCCCATGGGCTGGACAGGTTCTTTGAGCATGAGAAGGCCCACGAGAACAAGCCTTTGGCCCAGGTGCTCCACACACTCCTCGGAACCCCTGGGTAGAGGAAGGAAGCTCCCCAGAACCTACCCTTGGCTGGAACCTCCAGCCCAAAGCCAAACCCCATGCTCAGCCGGGAATCCAGCCAGGGCCCCTCCCCAGGCCTCCAGCGCTCCTTCCTCTCACCCGGCCCCTGGCTCCCCTCAATGAGCTTCTGCCTCTTCTCTGAGCCCCCACCCCTCTCATGGCATTCCTACCCCCTCTTCGAAGCCCTCGTTCTCCCTTGAAGCTGCTCTCTGAAGCCCCTGCCTCTTCTTTGCAGCTCCTTTATGAGGTCTCCACCCCCTCCCTGGAGCCCCCATCCTCCTCTAAATTCCCATCCCTCTCTGAATGCCTCACCCTCTCTCTCTGAAGCTGCCCTTCCCTCTCTGAGATTTCCCCACTCCTCTGAGCGGGGTCCCGCCCTCTCAAGAAACCCCTGATTCCCTCACAGGAGGAAAGGAAGAGCCGGACAAGTGCCCCTCCTCGGGACAGGGAGATCCAGCTGGTGTGGGGTCTGGGGCAGCCCATCTGCTCTGGGCCATACCAGCCCTTCTCACTTTCTGTCTTCCATCCACTGGCTGGGGCCTCGGGGATCCTCGCTCACCCTCAAACTACTCAGAGTCTCCCTGAGAGCATAACACGACCTAGAGCTGGTGGAAATTCCCTGGGGTTGGAACTACTGGGATTCACCAGCCCTTGGGGAGCTCCTGTCTATGCTTTTAACAAAAATCTGGGTGCTCAATAACCCCAAAGTCCCTCTCTCCAAGAGCTCAGCTGGCTTTAGCTATGACCCCCAAGTATTCATTTCACTTCCTTTCTTATTTGTTCCTTCCTAAATCCTTGGGAATCCAGAGGAGGACAGTTTGTTTTTGTTTTTTTTTTTTCCCCACTAAATGGGAGGCAGAGCCCCAGGAGACCTCTGCTCTCCCCAGGTCACCCAGTAAGTGAGGGGTCTCCAAGATCAGAAGCCTACCTTTCCTGATGTCCAACTGCTGTTACAGTTTTCTTCTTTATCATCTTCTGGTTCTTTATTCACACTTCCTCATGAAGTTTCATTGTTCCAGGCACTGTAGAAAGTAAATCCTTTCCCTGACCTTACGAAACTGGAGCACGACACTCTGAGCCACCCACATGCCCCAGGAGCAGTGTTAATACTGAGCAGTGATTCATTGATCTGTCTGTCCCAGTAGTTTGCAACTAGAGTCCATTCTGTTTGAAGGGTGCCTGTGCCATAGTTACTAAATATTTTTAATCTCCTCCCTGCTGATGAGTACAAAAGCCACATTTACAGAGCTGTAGGACAGACGCCCATATCTCTGGTGGGCTGTTATAGTAGCAGTGGCCCAGGTATGTTTTTTCTGACACAGGTATATTTTTTCAATCACAGCAGTGTGGACACCTAGACTGCCATGGGTACCAACAATCCAACTGATGCATGCAGTGGCCCGAGCAGGCAGAGCAGAACTGAGAGGTTTAGGAATCCTGAAAAACATTCCAACCACAAACAGCAAGATCTTAGTGCTATAGGGAGGAGCCCAGCTGGTGAGGGGGCAAGTGTTTGGGAGATGGGTAAGCTCACAGCCTTTGCCTTTTTGTAGGGCCCCTTAAAGGGCTTCCTGGAGGCACTGGGGAGACTGCAGAAGAAGTTCTACTCCAAGGGCCTGCGACTGGAGTGTCCGATCCGCACGTACTTGGTGACAGCGCGCAGTGCAGCCAGCTCGGGGGCCCGGGCTCTCAAGACCCTGCGCAGCTGGGGCCTGGAGACGGATGAGGCCCTGTTCCTTGCAGGAGCACCCAAGGGTCCCCTTCTGGAGAAGATCCGCCCGCATATCTTCTTTGATGACCAGATGTTCCACGTGGCTGGGGCTCAGGAGATGGGCACGGTGGCCGCCCATGTGCCTTATGGTGTGGCTCAGACATCCCGGCGGACCTCACCTACGAAGCAGGCCCCCCCTGCACAGTAGCTGAGCCACCAGCCTCGCTGACCCGCAGGCATGGTTCCCTGTCCTACACGTCACCCGATGGACCCTTCTGGTTCCTCATCTCTCCGCCCTTCTGCATGTCTGCCCTCATCCCTGGGAGTGAGGTACCTGTAGGAAACTGTGCAGATGGGGCCAGCATCCTCACCAGCCCTCCTTTTAGGCAAATACTGTGCCATGATCCTGATCTTACTCAGAAAGTAAGACTGTGCAGAGTAGCTGAGTTTCAGAGGGAAGTTGATGAGACTGAGGGTGGGAGAGTCAGAGCAGCCAGGATGCCTCAAGGGGGCCTTCTGAAACTAGCTCAGTGTAGTACAAAGAGGTGGGATCTGGATCCTAAGCTCTGTCTTGGCATTAAGTGTATGACTTTAAGTTCCTTTTCAAGGGACTCTAGGATGAGGTGACCCCCTGAGGTGCACTGGTGAACACTCCATCCTTGAAGGAGCCCCTGCAGCCCATTTGTCGCCATTTCCTGGGGGAGAACGCTCACTGCTTGATGAGTCAGTTTCCCCATCTTTTGGGTGGTTTTCAATTTAGCTAAAGAAGCTTGGTTTTTATAAGATCGCCCTCTTTGAAGGAAGCATGGTGTGCCGGGGCTGCTGCTGATACACATGGCGCTTTTGTATAAGTTATAGAAGGACGAGGTCTTTGGAAGGAATTATGAAAAGGGAACCTTCCCTGTGAACTGACCCAGACCACACTGGGGTACACAGCTTGGTTAGCAGGATATAGGCTGGATTTCAGCCCCCACTGGCTCCTCAGCCCAGAAGCCTTGTCAAATGGGCAAGATGCACAATCATCCGCAGCCACTTCCCTACGGTTTTACACGTTTGGGACCCACTGGACTAGATGACCTGTCTGCTTCCTGCGATCACCTGACTCATCAAGGGTCAGCAGAAAGGTGCTGGTGTTTGTGGAAGGAGTGAGGGAGTGAATTTAACTTGCATGCAAACTCGCCTATGGCCAGCAGGGGGCACTGCCGGATCAGTGCTTCCTTTGCTGTTGTTTTTTAGCCAAATTTAATTTGTTCCTCCCTGCCAACTCCCTCATCTCAGCCCCTACTCCCTCAGCGATTATATCCTGCTGTGCTGCCAAGCAGGCCTGTTGGTGAAGGAAGAAGTGGAGAATTGGTGTTTACCGTTGTGAGCTCAAATGCAGGGAAGAAATCTCAATGACTGAAGTGGGAGGTCAATCCAGGATTAGCCTGAGGGAAGGCCTGCCTGGGGTGATGTAGAAAGTGCGAAGAGGTCTGGTTTGGGCCATGACTGGCTAGTGAGGAAGGAGCTGAAATGTGCACTAGCAAGAGTCTCCAGCTATGGGATTCTGAGTGGAAGTGGTGACCTCTTTGTCTCTCAAGATGCTGTGCAAGGGACTCCAGGATGAGGTGACTGGTGAACTTGCAGGAGTCCCTACAGCACTTTTGTCACCACGTACAGGGGAGACCTCTCATTTCTGGATGAATCAGCCTCTTCCTTTGCTGACCAGCCTGGCTCTCTCTGGAGAGAAGGTGGGACCTCCAGTGATTAATCCCATGGGAAGACCCAAAGGGGTAAGCAGACATCAGTGGTGGGGACTGATTGTCTAGTTCCCCAGGGGGAATCCCAGCTGTGAGCAACTACTTTATGAAAAAAGTGGAGGTGTGTGCAGGGGAGCTGGAATGCTTCTGGGGGCATCACTCTGGGAAAGGAGTGATGGGCAATGTGGAGCCTGTCCTTTGTCCTTCTGTCCGAATGGCCCAGGTTCTGGGCAGTGTAGGGCATAGTAGCAGAGTCAGAAAAATAATCCAGGAGGGAGAAGAAAGTGAGAAGACTGAGGTGGCTCTGGAAATGAGCAACAGTTGGTGTGAGAAGAGGCCTGGGCTCAGATGGCCCTCTGAGTGCTGGAGCAGCCAGGAGTCTGACTGTGGGGAGGAGGAGTAAGGCTGTGCCGGGGATGGGGAGCAGAGGGGTGCTGAGGCAACCCTGCTGACGCTTTATCAGGGAATGGGCAAGTGATAAGGATGTCCTTGCACAAGGTCATTCCCATCCACAGCCAGGCCCCTTCCAGCCAACAGAGGAGGCGTCCGGTCAGAGGACCTGGTTTGGAGCTCTTTCCTCTGCCGAAGCTCTCAGCCCAGCCAGAGATATGGCAAGACCTGAGGACAGCCTCAAGTAGATGAAAAGGAAGTAAGAGAAGGAGCTCAACCCCAATCACCCTTGATCTTGGCTGAACCATACCAAGGCCTTCTGCCTCGCTCCCTCTGGGGTCAGAATCACCACTTGGATGAGCCTCCGGGGCTCTCAGCTCGTAGCCATGAGAGGCCTGAGAGGCTGGGCACAACCAAGGCTCACTGCTCGGACTTGGCTGAGGGACCAGGGTGGACACGTGCACTTCGAGGGCAGCACCAGATGTCACCTAATTAAGAAACACCCCAGGGACTCTGAAGAGGTCCTGCCTCTACGGCCTCGTGATCATAGGGCTGATTCTCCCAGGGCTCTCAGGAAGCAGGAAGATATGATGTGGAAAGCAGCAAGATAAGGTGCAGTAAAAGCTATCTATTTCACTGGAGCACTGTTAATAGACTCGGACAGCCCTGGGCAATGAGAGACACGAGGGTCCAAATTCTATAATTGAAACCATAAATGAGCATTTCAGGACTGGAAAAGAGCTTTCAGTGGCTGCAATAAAAGGCCAGAAGTCCTGGGGGCAGGCTGAGGCAGCTGCCAGACACACCTGATTGTTTCAAGTGGTGAGGAGGTGTGCTGGGGAGAAGAGTGTTTATTGTGTCAGCAGGCAAATTAAAAGTGAACGTGAAAGAGGAGAGTGAAAAAAGCTGGCTTAAAACTCAACATTCAAAAAACGAAAATCCGGTCCCATTCCAAAAACGGTGTCCGGTCCCATCGCTTCATGGCAAATCAATGGGGAAACAATGGAAACAGTGACAGACTTTATTTTCCTGGGCTCCAAAATCACTGCAGATGGTGACTGCAGCCATGAAATTAAAAGATGCTTGCTCTTTGGAAGAAAAGCTATGACCAACCTAGACAGCATACTAAAAAGCAGAGACATTACTTTGCCAACAAAGGTCCATCTAGTCAAAGATATGGTTTTTTCAGTGGTCATGTAGGGATGTGAGAGTTGGACGATAAAGAAAGCTGAGCGCCGAAGGATTGATACTTTTGAACTGTGGTGTTGGAGAAGACTCTTGAGAGTCCCTTGGACTGCAAGGAGATCAAACCAGTCAATCCTAAAGGAAATCAGTCCTGAATATTCATTGAAAGGACTGATACTGAAGCTAAAACTCCAATACTTTGGCCACCTGATGGGAAGTGCTGACTCATTGAAAAAGACCCTGATGCTGGGAAAGATTGAAGGCAGGAGAAGAGGACAACAGAGGATGAGATGGTTGGATGGCGTCACCGACTCAATGGACGTGAATTTGAGCAAGCTCTGGGAGTCGGTGATGGACAAGGAAGCCCGGTGTGCTGCAGCCCATGGGGTCGCAAAGAGTCAGACTTGACTGAGCAATTGAACTGAACTGAGGTAAATTAAAAAGCCATACAAGCACCAGAGCCCCTGACCCAGCCAGGGACTGCAGTGATGGAGCAGAGAGGACATAGCTTCTAACCAACATCTTGGCACTCCTGCAGAACATGTCCCAGGAAATACTTACCAACCAAGTCCCAGACCCAGTGGAAACTGCCAGTTAGTAAAACAGAAGCCCTGTAACTACGCACTGAGACTTCCATGGTCACTGCAAAACAGTCCTCTCCGCTTTCTGAGAACCCAGTCAGAGCGATGGGGATGTAACAGAAGATGCCAGAGGAAGTTGAAATCAGAAAGAACTCTAAATCCAAGGTGGATTCCGCGTTATAGTGATATTCAACTGGTGTGCACCAGTCCAGACTAACTGGTGCTTATAATACTGAAATGCCTCCATAATAGTTATAAATAGCATTGTCCTGAGCCCCTGAGCACCCCCTCCCCATTGTCTCAGCTGCCCTGGCCCCTCTATCTTCTTACGTTTCAGCAAAAAGGGGCTATGAGAGTCTGTGCCCGCAAGATGGATGGCGGTGTCCACTCTGGTGGTCTCCTGTCTCTGCTGGCTTTAGAGAGGTAAAGTGAGTTGTCCAAAGTCACACATCTGGGAAGTGGCGGCAGGAGAACTCGAGCTCATGTCTGTCTGATGCTGGGAATCAGGCTCTTAACTCTTCTGCCAAGTGGCCCATCCACATGCATAGATGTGACGCTTCTTAACACCGGACAGTCTGTTGAACATATTGACTCCCTGCCTGGCAAAATGCCACAATAGACTTGAGTGGGTACATCTTTGTTGCAGCTTCCTAAACAGCGAAGAAGAATTTAAGCTAGAATCAAACATTTGCAGACCTTCTGAAGCACCTCTAGACACCCCCACGTTCTGTAGAACTCCGTATGTTTGGGCTGATGCTGGGTTTGGCAAACTGTGGCACCTTGGGCCACATCTAACCCACCACCTGTTTTTCTTTTTCATGATTTTCTTTTTTTATTTTTGGCTGTGCAAAGTCTTCGCTGCTGCGTGGGCTTTTCTCGAGTTGCGGCAAGCAGGGGCTACTCTTTAGCTGTGGTGTGCGGACTTCTCCTTGTGGTGGCTTCCCTTGCTGTGGAGCAGAGGCTCTAGGGCGTGTGCAGGCTTCAGTAGTTGCAGCACGTGGGCTTAGTAGCTGTGGCTCCAGGCTCTAGGGGGGCCTCTGGCAAGTGCCTCAACTTTCCTGGGACTATTTTCTCCCCTCAGTCGTGTCCGACTCTTTTTTGTTGCCCCATGGACTGTAACCCACCAGGATCCTCTGTCCATGAGATTTCCCAGGCAAGAACAGTGGAGTGGGTTGCCATTTCCTTCTGCACCTACCATCTGTTTTGGTAAAGAAATTTTATTGGAATATAGCCATGCCCATTTGTTTACATATGTTTTTGGCATTTGAAATACAGCAAGAGAGTTGAACTGCTTCAACAGAAACCAAGGAGCTGAAATTTTTCCTCTGGCTCTTTGTGGAAAGAGTTTGCTGACCCCTGGGTTAAGGCAAACATCCCTGGCCCACTCCTCAGTGGGAGAGACCAGCTTACATCCACCTAAACATTTGGAGGTAGAGGCTGGCTAGGTTGCAGAGGGGGCAGCAGGAGTGGGTTCTGTGCCCATCTGTGGGCATCATCAGGGATTATAGGCACTGAGAATCTTGATGCTAAACACAGTAGGCCCTTAGCATCTGAGGACTGAAGATTTCAAGGTCTGTTTTCAAGTGACATGGTGCATTGTAATTTAGAATTTTGATCCACACATATGATTTGAGTGCTGGGTGAGGGGCAGGGAACGGGACCCCTGGCTAAAGCTGAGCCCAGCTGGCTAACTCGTATCTGCTCAGCACAGCCGTGTGGTTCTCAGCTCATG